CCTTTCCACGGGCTCATCCAGCTGACGTCGGTTGCCATCCTCTACATGGGCCACCTCCCGAGCGACCTTATTTGGAACAGGTCGAGCAGGACGCAGCTCGTGGACCGCCTGGTGATGCTGGGCAGGCGCAGCTTCGACTTAATGATCTGTACGCGTCCCTCCTGCACAACGTGGAGCAGGACTTGGCGCACATCTACCAGGTAGACAGCCCGCCTGAACATCAAGGGCGCGCTGCTGGTGCCAAGTATGCCTGGCGACCTATCGGAGGGCCCAAACGCGGAGCGCACCCTGCGGCTGGCAGCGAGGCACGCTACTTCCGCGCGGTGGCCATCGCCATTCAGGACATCATCTTGCAGGTTCAGCGCGACAGCGTCGGGCCGCCAGCGCGTCCTGCTCCCCCGAGGGCGCGTCACCTGGGAGACTCGGGCGGGCGCTCCCCTGCGCCGCCCTCGCAGCCCCAGGGAGGACCCCACGGCAGAGCAGGCGGGCGCGGACGCGGCAGGCCGAAGGCTCGCCTCGAGGTTGCCAGTGCGGCCACGCTGGACATGCTGCGCAGCTCCTGGGAGCGCATACACGCACCCACTGCTATGGGACGGCCACCGAGGCGTGATGATCCTGAACCTGACGGCCCTGAGGAGGAGTTTCGCGAGGCCGTGGTCGCAGGGGCCACGCGCTGGATACCGGAGCTTTCTGAGCCCGACGGCGGTGAATCCACTTGGTTCGAGTGGTGCGTGCCTTCCGTCAAGCAGTGCCTCAGGTTGCCTCAGCACGCGGCGTGGGTGGTCATCGCCCTTGCTGAAATGACGGCGGACGAGTTGGCCCTGGACATCTGCGCCGAGGCGTGGGATGAGGCCCGCGATCCCAGGCGACACATCATGGAGTGCTTCGACTGGCTGGCCATACATGACGTGGAATATGGCAGGCAGCTCATGAGTCACCACTGGCGCGAGCTCCACGATATCCTGGCCGAGATGCGCGCGCTCTTGGGCGATCTCGAGCTGGCGCCAGTTTTGGACGAGCATTACGACGATGGCGATCAGCGACCTCACCAGCCAGATACATCGAGCGAGGCCAAGCAGGCCTCCAGGGGAGCGAGCTCGACTTCATCATTGACGACGGCCTCGCCCTCTTCTACTTCGCTGCAAGGCCGCCCACTCTGTGGGCCGCCGCTGGACGTTGGCCCCTTTCGAGCTGAGAAGGTTGAGACTGCTTCCCAAGTGACCTCCCACGTTGGTAGGGCATGCGCCCCCCTGCCGCGTGGGGATGGCCTGGGGAGTGGAATCTCTGGAGCTCGGGAGGCGCGAGCGCGCGTCCCATGCACAGCGGCCTCGCTCTCAACGGGACCGACAGCTGGGACATCAGCATCGACAGGCTCTACGGCAGGGCCTTTCTCGCCCCCACCTTGCGCTGCGCGTGGCTACGAAAAAACACGGATCAGGACAAGCCGACGCGAGGCCAACAAGGAGCTTCTCGAAGGCTAATTCAAGGTGGTCTCATCTTGGACGACTTCTACGGCCTGGTCACCGACAGGATGTGCACACACCAGCTGGCGCCTTCTTGCTCGATATGATATGGCCGATTTTGCATGCTACCACGAGTCGACCTCCAGAGACAGCGCACGCTTGGATGCAGGACTTGGCCAATCCGCGTCATGCAAATGCTGAAGCACAGGAACGCGCTACTGGCAAGAAGAGGCTCGACGGTTTTCACAAGTGGGCCAGGGACACCTTGGCTTCTGGTCCCGCGCCGCTATTCAATATGATGAGGCTGCGCACGTGGACGCACAACCAGGTCTCTCGTCATGGCGAGGTCACCTCCCACCCGCAGGCCATAGCGGACAGCCAGATGGACATGTGGAACGACATCTGGGAGGGCACGCCCATCACGCGCCAGTCTACCAAGTCCCAGTACTACGTGGACGGCGACGGCGTGGAGGAGCAGGAGCAGGATCCCATGGCAGAGGCGGCACCTTTCTTGGACACTGCCGATGACGATATATTGGCTGAAGTTGCTCGCCTGCCGCCTGGTGCTCTCCCTGCTCCCACGGTAGACGAGGTGAGGAGGGCGGCTAGAACATTCCGATGGCGTACGGGTTTGGGTCAGGACGCCATTTCACCACGGGCGCGGTCTCTCCTCTCGGACTCGGCCCTCGCGATGATGCTCTACATTTTCTGGGCAGCAGAATCGTGGGCGAGGTGGCCGTCAAAGATGCTATCGGTCCACATTATGCTGCTCACGAAACCTCAAGGAGGATTTCGACCGATAACTCTTTTACCCTCGCTATATCGCGTCTACACCAAGGTGCGGATCTCTCATGTTCGGGCTTGGGCTGCCAGATCTGCTCGGCCATATTTTGCCCTAGGAGAAGGCAAGTCGACTCTAGACGTGGGCGCTAGGACGATGATATACTCCGAAGCTCACCAAGGTAGTGCATCGAAGGCCGTGGTCACAACCCTGATCGACATCAGCAAGTGCTTCGACAGGGTTTGCTGGCGCCGCGTCTTGCAGGCGGCAGCCAAGATGGGTTTCCCTACCCCGTTGCCCAAGCTATGCCTGGCGATGTACTACGCGCCGAGGCGCATCAGATGGGGACCGTCGTACTCGTACGCGGTGCAGGTGCAAAGCGGGGTACTGCCAGGTTGCTCGGTGGCCACGTTCCTCCTGCAGCTGGTCATGATGATGCCGTTCGACGTTTTCGAGGAGTCGGTTGCCACGACGGAGGTAGACCACACGCTGGACATATATGCCGACGACATCACCTTGCAGGTGGTCGCCGCACTTCAGCATATCGTGGAGGACAGGGGGTCGTGCTGCGCGCGCTGGACTTGTCCATCGCGCAGGACAAGGCGAAGACCATGTCCTCGGCGCCAGGAGTTGCAAGACAAGTGGCAGATCGTGTCAAGCAGCATGGCTTCAAGGCGCGCACGGTGCTCGAGATCTTGGGCATGGAGGCCAGGGGTGGAGTCAAGGTTCAGTACGCGGCTATCAGGTATCGCATGACCAAGCTCAAGCGACGTCTGCCCATGTTCAAACGCATGGCCGCCATGGCAAGGATCGGTCGCGCCATAGCTCAGCCATCGATTGGTCCAGCGATCCTCTACGGAGTGCAGGTGATCGGAGCATCTCGCTCCATCGTGCGCTCCATGACCAAGATGGTGCGTGTGGGCTGGCATAACACACCGACGGGGACCTCATCGTGGTTGGCTTCTCCGTTGGCAGAACCAGTCTACACCTGGGCGCAAATGGCATCGGACAGAGCTCTTCCTTGGGAAGTTACGAATCAAGCTTTTCAGCAGCAGCGACACCGACTGGGCCCAGTTCCTTCGTGGCAAGATGTAGCGGGGCCTGCGGGCGCGGTTTGGAACGTCCTCCACCAACTGGGTTGGAGAGCTCAGTCCGCTCTCCAGTGGACCAAAGCCCAGGGCGTCCAGCTTGATCTCAGAGTTGATCCACCTGATTGGGTACGTGCTCTGGCGAGGAGGTCTTTCGTCAACTATAAGTGGGAAGAGTGGGCCTCGCGAGCTGGCCACGCACCTGAGACGGAGGCTCCTGCGCGAAAGGCATGTGGGTACTGGCTTGCCCCTCTCCAGCTTCTGCTCACTACTCGTGATCAAGCTCGCAAGTGGAGACTTTCAGTGCGAGCGCGCGCAGCGCTCCGCAGCACCATCATCGGCGGCCAATGGTCACAAGCGAGATTGCACAAGTACGGCTTCTCGGACACGGAGGAGTGCATGTGTTGCCAGGACTGCAAGGGCACGCTTCATCATCGACTATGGTGCTGCCCCAACTTGGCTGAGGAGCGTGCGCTCGCAGTGGATCTAGAAATCACTGATGAGGCGCGCCAGGCTCCTGAGAACGACATGCTCTTCACGCGAGCCATGCTTGATCGAGATCAGCTCCCAGTTGTGCCTCCACCAGTTAGCGAGGAGATCTGGTACTACGCCTACGGCGGCCAGCTTCATCAGATCACGGGCGAGGTGTACACCGATGGAGCAGGTCGCACGCACATTGGGTGGCCTGAAGGTGCTCGAGCGGGCTGGGGACTGGCCCTCATGGACGACCAACGATTGAAAGGCTTAGCGTTCGGTCCTCTCCCAGGAGCTCAGCAGTCGGTGCCCAGAGCCGAGCTCTACGCCATCATCATGATGCTCAGGAATGGCATCCTCCCCCTCCACATACACACCGACTGTATGATGACGATCGACGGTATCAACCAGGGCAAGCAGTGGTGCTTGCATCCTCGACGGGCTCACGTCGACTTGTGGCGGCTGCTCTGGCACGCGCTCGAGGATCATGGAGGCATCAGCGACATCCTCACCATCGAGTACGTCAAGAGCCACCAGACACAGGAGGACAGCAGGCAACACCATGGCAAGAAGGGCAATGACTATGCCGACGTGGCGGCGAAGAAGGGGCTCGCCAAGCACGACATCCCACCAGCGGCGCATGCTCGGCATCGGGAGCTCCTGGACCGAGTCCGCCAGATCGCGGCCTGGATCGGCAACACGCAGGAGCTGGTCGAGACGAGGCCCGACAGGATGCCGACGGTCTCGAGGCGAGCTCGACGGCAGCAGCGACTCCGACGGGGTCGTCCACGGCGAGAGCGGCGGCCTCCCGCGCCGCTCCTGAGCCACCAGAGGCGCCATGTACCTGGGCGCGCGCTGTGTGGCTGGAAATGCGCTAATTGTCCGCGCTTCGCGCGATCCGCCGCTGGCAAGAGGCGAATGATGGCGCAGGCTTGTTTTGTTGATCTCCCTCTGCCTAGGATTGTGGTCCCGCAGCCCCCGTCAGCCCCCAGAGAGCCTGAGCCCCTTAGGACCAAGCGCCCCAGGGGCCCCTTGGAGGCCTCGGAGGGCAAGGTGGCGTGCCCGCGGCTGGAGGCCAAGAAGGCCTCAGGGGATCCCGAGGAGACTTCGCCTCCTCCTCCTCCTGCTCCTCCTCTGGGCCTTGAGGACCCTCCTCCTCCTCCGCCTCCTCCTCCTCCCTATGGGGTGGCCCAGGAGTCCAGGAGCCAGGCCAGGCCAATCAGGGAGCTGGCGGAGCCTTTCGTGAGGCAGGTCAAGCCCAGGGTTCGGTTCGAGTCGCGTCCCCAAGGGGTGGTCCGCGATGCGGCGACCGCCCTCGACGGCTCGAAGAAGCGCCCCCGTCTGGCGGCCCCTTGTAGGGCCACGGCTGCCCCTCCCAGCGCGGCGCTCCCGTCGGATGGGGATGCGTTCGTGCCGCCCGAGGCGGCCCGAGGTCACATCCTGTACAGGGCTGGGGAGATCCTAGGATGCACGAGGTGTGGCTCCTTCTCTGCGAAGGCCGCCCGTTCCGACTTGTATGGCACCTGCGACCCGCAGGCTCTCGTGTCCAACCCCCAGCGGAGGTGGCGCCGAGATAACTTCGCGTCGGGCCGTCATCCCAGTGACGGCCGAAAGCACCCCATCCCCATGCCCCGTAGGCTCCAGGTTTCAGACCCTGCTGTGCAGTGGCTGGGGTTGCTTCAGAATTTAACGCCTTAAATTCCGTTTTAACTCGTTTTGTATTTTCCCGCGTGCAGGGCATCGTCTGGTGAGTTGATCGTCGGTGCTTGCATGCGTCTGCTCCAGGTTCTGCTTTCCAGTTCCTGTGTTGCTCCTGGCCAGGCCTCTGGTTGGTGAGTGAGCGTGTGCCCTGTGGCCGTGATGCTTTACTGGGCTATCGCAGGGTGTGCCCTCGTCGTTCTCTGTGCGATTGTGTTTCTCACCTTTTCCCTTTCCTCTTGCCTGTCCTTCGTCTCGACTCGGCGCGTCGCTTCATGTGCTCGTTGCTCCTCCCCCTCTTCCTCCTCCTCCTCTTCCTCCTCCTCCTCCTCCTCCTCCTCCTCCTCCTCCTTCTCCTCCTCCTCCTCCTCCTCCTCCCCTCGTCCTCCTCCTCCTCCTCCTCCTCCTCCTCCTCCGCCTCCTCCTCCTCCTCCCACCCTCCTCCCCTCCTCCTCTCTTTCCTACTCCCCTCCTCCTCCTCCTCTCCTCCCTGTCCTTCTCCTCCCCTCTTCCTTCCTCCTCCTCCTCCTCCTCCTCCTCCTCCTCCTCCTCCTCCTCCTCCTCCTCTCTCTCCTCCTCCTCCTCCCCCCACTCGTCTTCCTCCTCCTCCCCCTCCTCCTGCAAGCGCCGCGGCGAGTCTATCACACGCCCGACGCACACCCTGAGCGCGTAGCCGAACGCCACGACCTGGTAGAGCAACGCGAGCACCAGCAGCCGCCCGGCTAGGCCGCCGCGGCGGCCCGCAGTTCAGCTGCCCGCCCGGCGCCGTCCGCGCCCAGGGCGGAGCGCAGCTGTCGGGCTGTGGCCCGGTGGAGAGCTACGCTGAGCTCCCGTCCCCACCGGGCCACCAGCTGTCCGGCCGGGGCCTCCGCCTCGGCCTCGTCGCCCGCCGCCAGCAGCGCCGCCTGCTCCCGGGCGAGGCCGCGGAGGTGCTTGAGGGCCGCCTGGCCGTGCCGGCCGGCGGTCTCTTGTGCCAGGGGCACGGCGCCTGCCTCGCCGGGTACCGGCGGTGCTTGTCCGCCTCCGCGGCGGCGTTCACGGAGCCGTCGCGGCCAGCGGCGGCCCGCAGGGCGTCGACGTCGGCCGGCACGCTGTACCGGACCGTGACGTCGAAGAAGGTGCGCGGCTGCCCGGGCCTCTGCACCTCGAGGTCGAGGATGGCCTCCTCGCGCTCGGCAGCCAGGGCGTGGCCGCAGCTGCAGGTGTCGCCTGGTCGCGCCGCCGCGGCCCCGCGGGCGTCGCACCCGGCGCAGCGCCAAGCCCAGCGGTCCCAGGCCGGGACGTGGACCTGGCGGGAGGCGAGGTGGCCGCACTCCGCGTGGATGCGCTGCCAAGCTCGCTCCAGGTCGCTGCTGCGCGCCTTCAGGCCCCCGCCCCGGGAGCAGCGCCAAGCGTGGCGGGCCTTCCTGCAGAGCGCCTCGCCGCAGCGCTGGCCTGCCCGCTCGCCCGGTCTGGTGCGATTGCAGCAGGTCGCCCCAGGCGGCGCCGCGTCCTGCCCGAGGAGGGCGCAGGCGGTGGCCCTGTAGTCCGCGTCGTCCAGTCGCTCGGGGGGCTGCCCGGGCGAGGCTGTCTGCCTCCCGGAGGCGTGAGGCCCGCCGCAAGAGCGCAGGAGCGCCCTTTCCTCCAGCTCCAGCGCCCTCAGCAAGGAAGTGTGATTTTTGTGGTCAATCCTTGCGGTGAGGGTTTTCTGAAGCCTTCGGGCAGGCGTCGCGGCCAGCTCTTGCCAGGTGGGCAGCTCGGCCGGCTCCGCGCCGGGGCGAGGCGGCGGCGGCGCCAGCTGCGCGAGCCCGGCCAGCGCGTCGCGGCAAGCGCCCGCGAGCGGGAGCCCTCCTCCTCCTCCTCCTCCTCCTCCTCCTCCTCCTCCTCCTCCTCCTCTTCCTCCTCCTCC